AATTAGTATGTTTAATAGAGAAAAAGAGAGATGGAGTCCTTCTCGATTTGAAAGAATTACGATGAATTAAAAAAAAGTTTATTTTAAAAAAAAAATTTAAAATAAAATAAGTATATGTAAATATTTGATTTAATTTATTTTACTTATTTAATGAAATTTAAAAAATTATTATTATTATTTTATTTTTTAAATTATTTAATTAAATAAAAATATTATAATTTCCTCTTCTTCACTTTCATATATCTAAATAAGATTAATATCAACATTTTTCTTTTTTTCACTTTCCCTCCCTTTCTTTCCTTTCATCTCATCTCCTTTTCATTTCTTTTATTAATTTTTATCCAAACATAATCTTAATTCATGATGAATGTAGGATGTGGTGAGAAAAGGAACATGTGTTTGGCATTTAAATCAAATTGGAGTGTAGAGCTCAAAGAGGAAAGGAATCAGATTAAAGAGAGAGGAGAAAGAGAATAAAAATTTATAATTCTTTTAATAAAAATGTTTTTTGGTGGGCTAGAGGCTCATAACCGGATTTTGGTATTGGGCCTCCCACACCAGAGCCAGAACCTAATAATTACGATTATGGACCACAATCGCTAGATTGGCCCAATTAACAAATAGTCAATCTGAATTCCTTCTTATGGTGTGGTCTTTCGGCTAGCCTTTAGGTAACCTGCCATTTGCCCACCCATAGACGCGGTCGAAATGGTGCAGTTAAGAAAATGCGGCTCAAATGAAAATGGGTAATGCATACTACCTTTTTTTTTCTTTTTTTTTTCTTTTTTTTATTTAACTGTTTCTATTTAATTTTTGTATAAAAATTAACTAAATAATGTTATATGATAAATAGATTATATCTGAAAATTTTTAATATATGATTTTTATTAAATATTTTTACTTAAATAAGAAAACTGTTAATCGTTATTTATTTATTATATAAGTAGTAGAAAGTTGAAGGATTATGTCAATTAAAAAAAAAGAGAGAATAAAAAATTAGTAATTTTGTTTGAAAAC